ATCACAAGTCAACATTGTAAAGGGGGGGGGGGGGATATTGGAAATATTTTAATAGTCTCAGACTATTCCGAATTAAATTCCATGATTGAAGCTACATATAATAAGGCATAGTTCTTATAACTGGATCTTAGGGAGAACAGTTTATAAATTACCATTCAGTTATTTTAAGTTCAGATTTCCTTGTCTCTTACAGGGGGGACTGTTTCGATCGAGAAATCTAACAAAACTAAACGGGAGGAGTTTATTCTCTATATCAGTTCTAAACTGTTTTCCCTAGATTTACATTAGGGGGCAGTTGTTGGGTTGTTGGCGTAGTGTTACTGCACAAGAATGTTGCGTAGAGTCATACATAGCCTGCGAACAGGCTCTTTGAATCGAATTAGAAACACGATGGAAAGTTGTCCGGCTATTTGCATGAGTCAAACATTGTGGTCTGAAGGCTAGGCAATGAAAAGGCAGATGACATAGAAAACTGCTGGCTAAGACAGCTAGACGACATGCAGGCATACATGTGGTGCTATCAAAACCCAGACTGGCACCGACTAGCTTATCTGTACCCTACTTGTTAATATTATATCGATATCTACATAACGTGGGAGATAATTGAATTAGGATGTTATTTTACTATAGTTGAATCTTTTTGTATAAAAATCCCATATTAATTCCCAGTTTTGGGATACCCGATACTCAAGTTAGACAAACAGACATTTTCTCTATACTAGAGTGTAGAGTTAGAGGAAAGAAAACGTATGTATCTCAAGTCAGGCTCGGCCAGGGGTTATCGCCTGTATTCTAAAAGCTCACTCACACTCAAGGAGTGGAAGTTCAATCTGAGATAACTGGAGGACGAGAAATCACATATAGCAAGGTAAGACACCAACCCTCCAGCTATTCAAAAAGAGCATTGGCACGCGGGGGAAGCTCAGATTGAACCTCCACTCTCTGAGTGTGCTTTTAGAATACAGGCGTATGTGTTGAACTATTTAGAACGTGAGCAGCCGTGTTGTATCGGATGAAGATATACCATGAATGAAAATTATGCAACCAAGTTTGAAATTCCAATATGGCGTCCATACCATGTACACGAAACATTTTGTACATTAAAAGTATGCACACATTTTCTCACATATTATATTAGTTTCATGATAAAAGGATATATATTGTAGTATAAGAGTGGCTGTAACAGTATAAACATGTTTGTAATGTTATCAAAAAATAACGCGCCAAAACACAATCGCAGGGCGTGACTGCAGCATATACACATGCTTGTTGACAACACTAGAACGGTAATTCGTGCTAAACAGACAAGCCGCCCGAAATTGTGATTGTAACATGCACTAATAAGGCAAGCCGCACGAGTGTCCCAAATGAAGCAGACCTCGGAAAATCATGATAAGTGTCGTTACACTACATGCATAACACACCCATCCACCCACAACACTGGACCAGCCCAACTATACAGAAGACGGCTGTATATACATGTGTTTTTCAAATTGATTTGTCTTATCTTGGTTTATAAAAAGTATCAGCTTTGATCACTCCTGATGGGTGTGGTTGGCACAGTAGCAGAGTCTGTCAGTTCACCTCTGATGGAGCTTGGTTTCAGCAACTACACAGTTTGTCTGATATCAATTCAGATCGGCTCAGAAGAATGGTTCCAATTTGACTCTAGTAGTCTAGTCTCTACCAAACACCGGTCCGAGCGGGCTTTTCCACTGTATGTTAACACCAGGTCAAACTGCTAGACCTCTGGAGAGAACAGTTTGGAACGATACAGTTATTTAACAAACGAGAGTCGCATGGTGGCAATCCGATGGGACCTTGGTTAGCTGTTCTTAATACTTCCCAAAAACTACCATATAAAACATAGTGGTTATAAGGCCCATTTACACTTGCAGTTTTTGCTGCGATTTCTAGTGTGATTTTCTCCTTCTGATGGATGTGAACGAGTAGATGAGTTGCGAATGTTCGAAGTATGTGTCACCCTCATCTGTCTATATCACAACCTCGTAATGGCTGGCTGTCTACTTCCGCTTCCCAGAGGAACCAGCTTGCGAGGTTGTCTATATTAAGGATTTTTTTTTATTAACTTTACAATCATATTATATATAAAAAATACACATACAGCTATGATTGAAGGATTGGACAACAGAACTAGAATCCCATACTGAGTCCATCCATCTAACACTAAAACACGACATATTACGGACTGCAAACTGGACAACGTAAATACTGATTTTACAGGCTTTTATACTATATAAAACATGCAAGAATAAATACATAACTACACTACTGTGAAATTATTTGCGAGGTTCAGTTTTGACCCCCCCCCCACCACCACCAGCACCACTAGTTAGAAACCACGAACCATGCACTTACACGCAAACCAGGTCAGCGCGAGGTAGTGATAGCGGTAATGAAAGTCAAAAGTGACTCCAGCCATTTTACACCAGACTTTAGTCCTAACAACACGTATTTTACAATATAAACATGCAATGAGCATCGGTTCGGTTGACATTCTAAACACATGTGAAGTATATAATCTTCATTCCCAACCGTAAACTATCGATAATACGGTACATTATTCGCATATCAAATCAGGAAAAGCAACCTAGAGCTGCATCTTTAAAATAAACGGACTCAAGTTACAACCATCTTGCTAGTAAATTTTACTGATTTTACCTACTGCATGTATATTACATTAAAGCTCATATTACTACCCCAACTGCCACTGGCGCTCGTTGACACGTTGTGACGTCATGCTAGTGCGCCATGCATGTGACAATTGTGTTTTAAAATATTAATATCTATTTTTAACAACTAAAGCAAGCTAAATATATCCGTTTACTATATTTAGAACTGCAAGCTGTCATTTAAACCTATTTTTGGATCACGTTTGTTCCGCATAACTTGTGGTTAGTTTCAAATTCCAGCTTTACGTAATCTCACCTCCTATGTCCACATTCAGTGACACAGCACAATTATTTTGCCACTGGCTAAAGGCCCTGTCACACTATTGCGTATGAGAGAAACGTATGAGTAGCGTATAAACCATACGTCTGCGTATACACAAAATTTTTAAGCATGCTTAAAAAAAAATTTCTGCCTCGCCGTACCCTCTCTCCTCCGCAGAGACGATTCATGGAATAGACTTGCATGAATCTTACACGAAGTTTCAATTAGGGAGAGGAACGCGCGCGGAGGGCGACGGGAAGACGGGAGAAAGAATGAATGAATTCTGTAAAAACTATACCCTCTCTATAGCCCCGTTTACACTACGCTCAATTTTTGGTACGGCACGGATAAAATTGTTACCCGTACCACTTTTTTGGTTCTTGGACTACCTATTTAGCTAAGCCCCGTTCAATTTTATCCGTGCCGTACCAAAAGTCGAGCGTAGTGTAAACGGGGCTTATGACTCACCAGACAGATTAAAAGATTTAGTGTGAACACTACCACGTATGGGCTAAAATCGTGGTGGTATCAAGCCCGCCAAACTATATGGAACGCTCTTTCAGATTCAGCAGTGAACTATAGTTTATTTAAAACTTGTATTAATGACTATAGTTTCTTATTTTATCCTTTCATATTACTCATAATGTATTTTTTATTTCTATTTATATTAGGACTTTCGTGGCAATACCTGTAAATTAGCTAAGTGTACCTCAGAGAGTGTACCTAGTGTACCTATAAACTTGTCACGCCAGTTAAATAAATAAATAAATAAATTGTATTGTATTGTAGATAATAGGAGCGGGGGGATTAATATAATCCAAATGTCAATATGGTCAAGGTTTTCCCAGAAATGCATCTCTATTTCAAAGAAGCAGTTTCAGCGTTGTACACTTTCGTTCCACGAACAATGCAACCTTTCCAAGAAATTCTTAATTTTCAGTAACCATATACTACCATAGAAAATATAAACAAACAAAAGTCAAACCAGCTAACGACGTTCTCCACACAAAACGTTCCTGACATGCTGCTCTCCGCCTCTCATAATGACACAACACTATATTCTTACTGAATATATTTATTCTGATTATACAATAAATTCATGTAAGTACACAAACAAATTTCCTAAATCTTGCATAGAAATCTCCCTTGGAAATAGAATGATAATTCATTACGCCTATACACTATGTAAAATACGACGTAACAAGACATATAATATCTTGCATGTATGTATGTATGTATATTATTATTATTAGAATGCGGTTTTTAGGGTTTGTAATCCAAGTGAGTATATATATACATTTTAAGATACATTTTCGCAGTCGTTCCTGGTCAGGTCTTAAATGTATATATACTCACTTGGATTACAAACCCTAACAACAGCATTCTATAGCCTATTATTTGTGACTTTAAATGTACTATATAGTCTATCTATATATTATATAATTTCTTCGCCCAGTATGGCAATTCTACACAACGACGACACTCAGTGTGGCTTGTATTTACGAAAGCGCCACTTAGATATCAACCGCATGTCAAAAGCATGCACGGTTGCTACTGTTAATATAATAATATATACACATAAATAACTTGACATGTTCAAAAGTACAAGGTCAGATATATACATATACGGTCTATCTACATGTGTGGGGCAATCATGCAGTGTCAGTAACTCCAAGTATTACGTTGATGATGTCGATTGTTCGCTGTTCGTTGGATGAACTTCATTATCATTATTGCAATCACATAAGCTCTTAAAATAGTACATTATAGCACCGAGCACGATAAAGCCGATTATCATACCAATATACTTCAGCCAGCCAATAAAAGAAAGATCACCACTATTGGTACCACTGCCATCATCTTGCTTCTCACAACAACTGGTCTCACCGCAGCAAGTCAAAGGGCACTTCCCATTCACCAAAGTACAGTTCTGAGGATTCTTTTGTTGGCAACAATCTGCTGGGCAGTTAGGCCAAAAAAAAAAATGTGGGTTTCCGGTTTCCCGACCCTACCTAGCTTTTGGACGTCGAAATCCCGACCCTAAACTTTTTTTATTGGATCATGCTTGTAAGTGTTTCCACTTAGAGGAAAAAGTTTGTGGAAAATTGAAATTTGAGGCAATATTAGGGAAATTTATCTTTGGATGTGGAAGCACTGACTAAACAAAATGGCGTCCGCTTATTCGAAAAAATAAAAAAAAAGTTAAAAAAAAAAAGTTAAAACCGACCTACCCTACCTAAGTTTTTATAAGAAGAAACCGGAAACCCACATATTTTTTTTTCTGGCCTTACCTATATTTTCTTCTGCATCACAAACTCCATTAAAACAAGTGTCCACCGAATACCTTTGCTCCTTCATGCATTCATGCTCAAAGCAACTTCGGAATAGCCAACATGCGACTGGAATGCTGCTATACTGTGCACGACAAGTGTTCTGTTTTCGAGTCTGGCCATCACAACCACCACACGAAAACGGTTCGGACGCTTTACGACCGAAAACGCATCTATCGCAGAAATCCTGAGCAATTGAACCACTTCGGTACGAAGTGCCAAGACAATTTTGATTTGTTTCACCACAATTATTGCAACAAACGTATTCAATCGTTTTTATGTTCTTTTTTACCACCAATTTAAACGATACACATTTTCCTTGTGGAGGTTGATCACCAATTGTTCGTTTCATTCGCCCTTCGTCTAAGCCGTTAGATTTTGAAAATGCGTCAACTGCCGCAAAACGAAAGTGAAGGCAGAGAATAAAACTGAAACAAACTTGAAAGAACATTTTTTTCTTCTTTGATTGTAAAGTTTGGAAACTGCAGATATTCAGTGATACTTTTGAAGGCTTTTGGAACTTTCCTTTTGAATGCAATAGCAGTTTGATATGCAGAATGCTCTTCGGCGTCGTTAATCTGCGCAAGAACGTGAAATACGATCCGTTACTACGACTGAGTGATGCTTCCACAGCGACACTTGATTGAATTCCTTAGATTAACTCCAGAGAGGTCTACTACTTGGTCTCTTGAGTGCCAGGAGAAATCTGTGGTGTAAAGTCAACATATGTAGATAAAATTTTATTTCAACACGCTTGCCCCAACACCAAAATGCTGATTTTTTGCATCAATAGATATTTTATTCCAAAGAAATGCGCCACTATATGAAAATTAGCTCCTTTTCTTAAATTCAGCGTTTGGCCTTGGTAACACCAAATCTGTGTCACTATGTAAATTGTTCGAAATAGCACAATTGCTAATTTTTAGAAACAAATTATTCAAATTAGGTGCGGCGAGATTATTTAAGTCATTCAAGATTTTGTATACAAAAATCGATTTCAAATAATCTCGCCTTGTCTCTAAAGTTTCCCAACCGAGTGTTTCGAAAACGTCAGCTGTCCGCGTATAACATAAGTTGCTCCCAAAGTGGAAACACTCCTCTAAATGTGATCGAGTTGAAACTACAATCAGTTAATGAACTCTATTGATTACAGAACTCTATAATATAGAACTCCTATATTAGCATAATTATTTTTATTTTGCACCATAGAACTTATATCTACAGCCAGAGTATACTTACATATAAACTACTTTCAAGCTAACTTTTTAACGTTTTGAATTTTTTGTGTTGGTGTTGTGTATACTCAGGTCAGTGAATAATATGTTTGCGATGTTACTCTGAGTGCATATCCACACCGGGCGAGCTTGAAAAATATGCCCGGCCACGGTAGGATTCGAACATACGAAGGTCGTAGGTTCGAATCCCACCGTGACCGGGCATATTTTTCAAGCTCGCCCGGTGTGGATATGCACTCAGAGTAACATCGCAAACATATTTTTAACGTTTTATTATCACCACCATTACTTTTTAAACATGCTGTGAGGGAGTGACTGAGGTATAATGTACCCTATAATCAAAATGCTAGTGTGTCGAGATTTTCTGAGAATTACATTTCTATTTCAAAGAAGTACTAACAACATTGGTACTTTCGTTCCACAATCGTTCCACGAACAGTACTACCTTTCCCAGAAAACCGGAACGTTTGTACGGAAGTTACTATGGAGATTATGAACAAACAAAGCATTTAAGTGAGCTTATTTTACTTAAAACTTTGTTCAAATAGAGCATTGTTTCCTAATTGTATATATATACGTTTATGTTCTCTCGACTTCTCATACAAAACACTTCCGACATTATTTTTTGATACACGAATTATTTTCAAGGTTTTCATGCAAACAGTATCTCGTATTTGTCAAACCATCTGACAGTATTAAGAAAAAACTATTTGAATCACACTGACATGCACTCTACAACAAATATAATATAATTTTATATAAAAATAAAACAAAAGTAAGTGTAAGATTTTATATGCTCGTTTAGAATGTACTACTACTATATATGTCGGAGACTGTCTATATATATCTTAATATTTGTGATTTAATAGCAGGATTAATTATTACTTTAATTAGGGACGAACATTGCATGATTGACACATTTATATTATTATGAAGAGGAGTTAAAAGATAGGAATGTAGTGACTGTGTGACTGTGAGAGAGACTAGACCACGTATACAACTGTGAGTGATTTTCAATAATATAATTTTATAAAACCGAATTTGCTTCGTCGAGAGTTTGATTGTTCAATACCTTTTAGTAAGGGTCAATTTACTAAACCTGGCACCTCCGACGGGATCGTAAAATGAGTGAGACAAACGCCAGCACCGCGCTGGAAACAAAATTATTTCAATTGCAACTAATGACGAAGCGCACGGACGGAATTCTTGCAAAATCCGAAGAAGAGCCTATTGCTCGACATCAGGGAACACTCAGAACTGTTATTGGCGAAGTGGAAAATCTAAGGCTTACGGTTGAAGCTGAAAAACTGGGCAGAAAAGAGGATACTACCGAGTGGAGCGAGGAGATTGATACCAAAATCAGCGAGGCAGATAGTCATGTAAGACTGACGAAGGAATGGTTGGCGGAAAACAAGAGGAAACTAGAGGAGATGGAGAACGACGAGAAGATCAAGTTTGAGGTAAAACTGCATGAAACTAAAGTAAAGTTACAAGATGAACATATTCTTAAAAACACCTCGCAGACCAGTAAAACTATGATTGGAATGCAAGCGAAATTACCGAAGCTAGTGATTTCGAAATTTAATGGTTCTCCTATGGATTGGCCAAGGTTTTGGGGACAATTCTCAGAGAACATTGATCAATCCGCAATTGCCCCGGTGACTAAGTTTTCTTATCTTCGCGAGTTGTTAGAGCCTAAAGCACGACAAACAATCGAAGCATTGCCCTTCCACAGCGAAGGGTACAATCGAGCGATAAGCATCCTGAAGGATAAGTTTGGGAAAGAATCCGAGATAGTAAAGGGTTACACGCGCGAGATACTTGGGTTGCCCACAATACAAGCGGCCAATCAGAAAAAGATTCATGAGTTTAGCGACAAATTGTCGTACTGCGTTCAAGCTTTAGAGACATTGGACAAGCTTGACGGGGTCAATGGCGCCGTGCCAATGACTCTTGATAAACTGCCTAGCATTCGTGGAGATTTGGTGCGAACGGACCCTGAATGGGAGAAATGGACCTTCACCAAACTAGTTGAAGCGCTCAACCAGTGGTGTCGAAGAAATCCAATCGACAAACCATCTGAACTAAACGACGACTCGTTTAGCAGCAAAAGAAGAGACAAGCTGTTTCATGTCTCTCGTCAGAGATTAAATCCACGTAATTGCGTTTATTGCGATAGCGGCGAGCACAAAACAAACGATTGCGCAAAAGTAACTCTGACGTCAGCCCGTAAACAGATACTAGCCAAGAAACGATTATGTTTTAATTGCGCCGCGGGCAATCATAAAGCCTCTGAGTGTCCGAGTAAAGCCACTTGTAGGAAGTGCGAAAAGAGACATCACACGTCTATTTGTGATTCTCACGACAACAAGGCCGGTGGTCAAATTTCTGGCCAAAATTCAAACGTTGCCATGACTACATGCCAGAAAAGCGAAGCGGTGTTTCCAGTAGTCGTTGTAGAAGTCAATGGAATTCGATGTAGAGCGCTGATTGATTCGGGAGCTGGGAGCTCCTACGTGTCAGCAAAACTGATAGACTTACTCAAACTGAAACCATCACAATCCCAGATTAAAAACATTGACATGTTAATGGCCTCTAAGACGTCCAAACTCGAGATTTACGATATGAAATTTGACTCGCTAGACGGCTCGTTTAGTCTTCCCGTAAGAGCTACAAAGGTAAACAAGAGTGAACTTTTGTTGATCGACAATCCCAAATACCCCAAATTAATCAATCAACACCCCCACTTAACGGGCGTGACAATGAACGACGATGACGTCAAAGATACCCTGCCTGTCCATGTCATTTTGGGGAGCGGGGAGTATGCGAAGATTAAAACGCAAACAAGACCGAGAATAGGAGACGAGAAAGCCCCTATCGCCGAGTTGACCAAGTTTGGTTGGTTTCTAATG